CGTTGGTCTGAATGAAAATGCAAATTCATTCTTTGCCACTAGGTGCAGCTTTTGGAGCGATAAAAATAGCGGTTTCCCCGGCAACAGCATTGCCGCGGGTTGTTTTTCATGTCCGCGGGTTGAAGCGACCCCAATAACGTGATATTTAGCCCTTGGAATACGAATTTTACTGAAGGATCCCCACCGAAAAACGTGTATTTTATCACCCGGAATGCGATTTTTTACCAGGAAACCCCCCTCGAAACGCGATTGGGCTAGTTTTGGGCTAATTTTGAGTAGCAATTGGGTTGCAAAAACCTGGCAACCCTGCCCGGTAACACTGTACACAAAGCAGCACTGCGCTCACAAACGTTGCTTTATCAGGCATTACATGCCTAAAATGAGACCAATCGGACCAATCACCGCAGATTAGCGTCACGCAGGAGGGGGTTTGGAAAAATGAATCGTTGAGCGAATCGTTTGGGAGTCATTGAGCAAGTAAGGTAAAAATAAATGCATGCATATTATAAGACAATGAAAGTGTTTTTTGACCTTGCATGCATCCTGTTGTTGGTGACTCCCAAAACCAAAATATGAACCTTTCATTACCCATAATAGGGGCACTTTAATTGTGTGTATTTAGGATACATAAAATGCTACCAATGAAATTAGCTTTAGGAAGACAAAGGAGTCAATATATTCCAAAAATGCTTAAAATGTCACTTCCACCGCATTCTAAATGGCGTGGCGTAATTGACAGTGTTTGAAATGTCATTTTAAAACACTGTAGCCAAAATTCTTCCAGAAGATGACAGAATTCTTCTGTGATGTATGTCCACTGTTTCAATTGTATTTTCTGAAAGTCCACAAGCTCAAAAGCACCCACGGCTGAAGAAACACCCATTGGTTACTGAGGCATTTGTTCAGCTCTTATGATGCTAGACCAAATGGCTTTGCTGCCCCTTGGTTTGACCTGAGTTTGAATTAACATTCCCGACTCATACCTCACATTCATAAAACATGTAATTGGATCTGGGGCATGACTGATTTGGGCGCATCAGTTTGTCCTTTCCTATCGAGAGGTCAGAACAATTTTGCTGTTCACTCATATGGGCATATTTATCTGTTTGCGAGGCTGGGAGCATCGGCAGAATGAGACTCCCCTTTCGAAGGCTAGATGAGGTATAAGAAGGTATTTATTGATGGTGACACCAGTATGTGCATTCGCGTTCTCTATTTTAATACACACAAACAAAAAACATAGCTAGAGGAATACCTTTTACATATGAATGTAATAAAAACAATCATGGTAAGCATCATAAACTATTAAAGAGTTAATGCAATGAGCTCTAAAGGTTTGTGTGTGGTTTCCATGACTAACTGAATTGGCTTGTAGACAGTCTTAGTCGGTCTGGCTGAAATAGTGCTGTATTGATCTAGTTCACATTTTGCTAGAGTTTTTCTTGTTCTAACTGTTCACCATTGTCAGCTACAAATATTTTAAAACCTCAACTGGGCAGAGTTAAATTACTTATTGAAGCTTATTGAGAAAAACATTCTGTTTCAAAGCCTTTCCAATGTTATTATGCTTAATTTACACCAAATATACAAAAACATTTTGTGTCCTCGACATCCATCAAATACTGATGTAGCTGAACTGCTGAAAACAAAACAAACAAAAAAAAAACCTTAAGACAACCAACCTTAAATATACTGAAAGCACCATCAGGGTTATTTTAAATAAAAAGCCTGCCTTTGAACGATCAAAGCATTTACTGGGAGAAAAGAAAAGCTATGACAAATTTGCTTGTTTTTTGAGTCTGATTTACAAATACTAAAGACTCTGACATTTCGAACTTCTAATTAAAAGACGCATTGCAGCATTAGTTTTGCCTGACTGCGTTTATTAAAGGATAATTAGCACGCTTCTTATCTGCACTTCTGCACAATGCCTATGTGTTTGGTAAGACAAGTTTATTAAGAGCACTGAAATTGCAGGTTGTGTTTTGATGTGTGCATACATTTTTGACAAATACACCATGACTAATTTTTTGACATGGCCAAAAAGAAAGGAGAGGGCACTTTAAATGTCCTAATCCTTAAAAGGGAAGTATAGCATTGTGTCAGCTTGATCAAGGGCTTACTTAACTGACACTATTCACAATGGCACAATTTCCAATGCACCGCAAGAGTGCTGACGTGAGCTGTGATTTACGTGGTGTCGTGAAGGTTCACTTCAAAAGAACCACAAATTTGAAGTCCAATTTGAGGTCATGGAAAAGCAATCTTAGAACAAAAGATTTATGCTGCTGGAGGTATGGACACTTTGATACAAAACAGCA